TACACACAATCTTTTTTGTTAAACATCTACTGTATCTCAGTTAAGAAATACTAAATAAACTTCTTATTAAATGTAAGATCTAACACCGATTCATAAATTAAAAGTCAGCCATTGTTTCGAAGTATTATAAATAAATAAAATTCATTAAACATTCTAGTATGTAACTTCTCCTAAAAAACGATATATAAAATGCAAAACACAACAATCATTTAAGTTGAAAGAGCAAAAAGTTGTCAGAAATCTGAAAAAATGACAAGTGTGCTTTAGCTTAAATGCTATGACTCATTATGTTTCAAGCCTTACCAGAGACTGTTTTGATGATATTGAACACGGAACGAGCTTTCTAAAACCGCAAACGCTATCCGAGTATCATTAAAACATGGAATATACATTTCCAAAACCACAAATATATTAAAACCCATTTACGGTCACAGAATTCTGTCTAAACCTTCTTTGAACTTGATTCATTGCAATGTGTGTGTGTGTGTCTATATATAGGGCTAGGTATACATTTGGTTTCCATGAGATATTCTAATACGTTTATGGAAAGTTACATGAAAAAAGTTTGTCTTTTACTGTTTTTTATGTAGTAATTTCTTTTCGAAAAACAAAAAAGACAAAAGGTCAATTTCATACCGATAAAGTTAATTCAAAAATGTAAAATAGGTATAAATGATGACAGGCAAGGACTGTTTTATTAAGGTAAAAACTCATTGTGAAAATAAAGTGATAACAACATCTAAGGTGGTGTTATGAACTTGGTCGCCTTCAGTTCATAATAAAAGTTACACTGTACAAACTGAAACTTGACTGTTGCTAAGGTAACTAGAATATAGGTTGTTAATTACATTTGAAACTGAGTTACTTTAGATTTTTCTTTCTTTCTCAAGTAAAGGTGTAATAAGATAATTTACGTAAAAATCTAAATATATAAAGATTACACACTGATATGATATCACTTGCTACAAAGCTTTTCCAGTAATATAATAGTAAAATTACTGGTACGTCTAAAGAGATACATTCCATCTACTCCGTTTCTTTAACGAGACAGAACAATAGGGAAACGGAATAAATGTAGCTGATTCACTCGGTTGACTATCGAAAACTTGTATATCCCTACCGACACGAGTCAAAGACCAGGTCATCGTGTTTGTAGACTAACATTCAAAATTTCATCGAACTACTGTTTTAAGATTGTATGTCAATAAGTTTGGTATCAAATTGTAAATTATAATTCAAATTTTAGTATTTTACATTAGTTAATTTCTTAATTTAAAAGTTAATATTAACAAAATCCCAAATATCGATTTTTGTGTGTCACATGGTATG